GTTTTGCGCTTGGTGGCTGTTTGTTGCAGAAACAAGAAAACACCACATGGAAACCAGTAGCATACTACTCCAGGAAGTTAACTGGAGCCGAAATGAATTATGAAATTCATGACAAAGAACTTCTAGCCATTGTAGCAAGTATGAAGGAATGGGATGCAGAATTGAGAGGTTTAGCACAGGCTTTTACTATCCTAAGCGACCACATGAATCTGAAATATTTTTTAACTACAAGACAGTTGACAGAACGGCAAACTCGATGGGCTGAATTCCTATCCAGATTTAGATATACACTGGTATATAGGAAAGGTGCAGAGAATGAACGTCCGGATGCACTTTCAAGGAGGGATCAAGATAGACCTAAGGAAGGTGATCCTCGACTTTTGAGTCGCGAGCGCCAAGTCTTAACGCCAATCCATGCGTCAAAGTTGTGTGTCGGCAATATTAATCTAGCGGAAGGCCATGAAATATTTGCCAACGAAGATTTAAAGGAGCTTTGGAACCAAGCAATAAAAAACGATGAAATATATGTCCAAGTCGCTAAGGCGGTACAAAGCGGAGAGCGCGTATGGCCCAAAGACATCAAGTTGCAAATAGAAGGTTCAAATGAGCCTACTCCGATTAAAGCAATGATCGCTGCTTGCGAATTTGACGATGATGTTGGGGTAGTTCGTTACCAAGGTCGGATATGGGTGCCTCTCTATGAACCTCTTACAACGGCAATTATACAGAACGTTCATGACTCAGCCGTCACTGGCCATCCTGGAAGAGATGCGACGCTTGCACAAGTCGCTAGAGAATACTTCTGGCCGGGAATAAGCAAGTCAGTCAAACGGTTCTGTAAAAATTGTCACGTGTGCGGAAGGTCATCAATTTGGCGACACCAGAAACAGGGGCTTCTGAAACCGTTACCGGTACCTGATAGATTCCATCAAGAGCTTTCCATTGACTTTATGGTGGAACTTCCTAAATCAAACGGTGCAACAAATATCATGGTAATCACTGATAGACTGTTGAAATCAGTGACACTGGAGGCTATGGACAAAATGGATGCAGAAACTTGCGCAAAACGATTTATAGAATGTCATTGGCGTTACCATGGATTCCCAAAAGCATTAACTAGCGATAGAGGGTCAAATTGGACGAGTAAATTCTGGAAACGATTGTGCGAGTTAGTTGGAATTGAACAGAGGCTGAGCACAGCCTATCACCCTCAAACCGATGGAGCAACGGAAAGAATGAACCAGGAAGTTCAAACATACCTGCGAGCATATATTTCCTACACCCAACATGATTGGTCTGATTCACTTGCTGCTGCTCAAATTGCTATAAATAATCGAGATGTTGTATCCTTAGGCGGCATAAGTCCATTTTTTGCGACACACGGATATCATGTGAACCCCATCCAAATTGTTACTAATCAGTCAATCATTCCAGCATCTACAGGAAAAGAAAGGGCTGAACAATTTGTCGAAAGGTTAGAAAAGGTCACCATTTTTATGCAATCTGCCATGGCAGCCATTCAGGAACGATATAAAGATTTGACAGATAAGAAGAGACAGCCAGCACCAAGGTACGAAATCGGTGATAAAGTTTGGCTCCTTTTACGGAATATTAGATTGGAAGATCAACCTTCCAAAAAATTAGGCTGGCAGCATGCAAAGTATACTGTCACAAAAATAATTTCGCCTGAGGTAGTGCAACTGAATATACCGGGAAAAGTTCATAATAAATTTCATGTGGATTTGCTCATACCTGCAGAAGAAAATCCGTTGCCTTCACAAATACTAGAAGATGAAAACCCAGGACCAATCACTAGTGATGATGGCGAAGAAGAGTACCAGATTGACGAAGTGCTTAGGTGCAGAACAAAAAAGGGGGAGCGACAGGCTTTAGTGAAGTGGACTGGAATGGCACAGCCAGAGTGGACATCACTGATAAATTTGCAAGATGCTGTAGCTCTAGACGTTTGGGAGAAAAAGTGGGGTTCTGCAGAGACAAATAATGGGCCAGCATTAAGGAAAGAGAAGAGGAGAGGGTAAACGGGGGGGTAATGTTACGGTTTGACCGTTGTTTGAGCTTAGGTGGATACCTAAGCCTGATACTAAGAATCCTTACAATGAGGCTGTATGGGGGTGGAGATGAAGCTGAACAAAACGGCACTACTACTCAGGAGGCTGAAGCGTCATTACAACTTAGTGACACCTGGAAATACGTGGCTGGGTAGAAGTATTGAGCCTGAGGACAAGTCACTAGTCTGTAGATTCACGAGGAGGATTAACTCCTATAAATACCTGTTAGTAGTAGCTAGAGTTAGCTTTTCTCCTCATATAGTTTATTAAATCGATTTATTCATCACCAACCTGGTTTCCGTCACATTGCATCAGATTTTAATTGCTTATGCAGCTATCTAGCTATGACACAATATGAAAGAAAAGTACAGAATAGATGACTCAACGTAAAGGAAGAGCACTCATGCCTCAGATTTCATTTGCAAGTACCACTGCGAAGTCATGGCGGCTTCTTCTTCACCCCAAGTCAACCCTTCCGTGAGTACCCACTGAGGGGAATGTCTCAAAACCCCCGAGTTATTCGGACATGCCTCTATCACCTATTTACATTTCTCCGTGCAAAACGTGGTCTTGGGCGTCTCCTTCCCAAGTGGAGTAGGTGCCCAGGCTACTCAAACTATACCGGAGAACACCACCAGGAGGCGGACCACAACACCTCCCATCGTTTGCTTGTTTTTATAGTGTGAGCTGCACTCTCGCAAGCAAAGCCTTGGCGCGCACAAAGCTCAATTCGTAAAGCTCCATGCCAAAATTCGAAATTTCACGCCCGTCGAAAACATATCCCTCTTCTGCATCATCTTGTAAACTTGTCCTGATCCCTCCCACGTCCATCCCAAAGAACTGTCTCCCAGATCTGTGCGCCACGCTTTGCTTCCTCCGTCTGGTATAAATATCGGCGTGGGCGTGTATTTGGTGACCGGCTGAGGCCAGAGAAAGTCAATGAGAGGTGTGGTCATTGAAACGAGGATGTACTAGGTCGTACTTGCAGACTTGATGAAGCTTAGTTGAGAATCGGACTCTTTGGGAGTGAAAGATTGACATGGTGGAGTAATTCGAATTTTTGCCTCGTGGGCCAACTTCTTTGATATTGCGAAATTTGACTGAACTTGGCTCTGGGAGAATATTTCACTCTCAGGTTCGTAGAGGACACCGCGTACAGGTGTTCAGTCTTGCCCTCCGATGCGTTGTGTTCGTACCCGCGTAAAACGCTCGCATGTTCATTCACGTTATGATAGGAAATAGAAATCATTTTTGACATATTTTTGCGATAAGCTGACGAATCGTCCTTTTACTATGGATTCAAATAGTCCGAGACAAACGAGTTATCTGGAGGAGACACAATGACCTATTTTAAGGATGACTAGAAAGAAATGAGGGATGATAGATTCTTGGAAATGAATAGGCGACTTAGAGGGAAAGACTGAACACCTGTACGCGGTGCCTTCCACGAACCTCCAGCTCTCACTGTAAAGTCTACAGAGCCGAGGTTGAGTAACAAAGTCCTCACTTCGACGAGGATTTCATACGCTTTCGCCGTCTGTATCGTCTTCATCTCTCACCACAATCCCCTATAACCATTATCATGAAGCTAACCACGATCAGATCAGATGGTAGGATCGGAGCCCTACTCATCACCAAGCCTTGATCATGGAGAAGAAGCCATCCGATGAGTTTCCGGGGCATACCCAGCACCCGACACGGAGATGGTGGATTGGATCAAGCCGGCCTCGAATGTTACAAAGAATGGTGATATAGATGAATATGCGCACCTCATGTGGTCCCGGTATCTAGGCCTCGCCTGGCTGGGGCTGCGGGACTTTTGAGACTTTTTCCCGCGCACGCTGTTTCCATTGCTACCATTTTAGTTTTTTTTTGTTTTTTTTTTGGGTAGAAGGTTCCGCGGAAAAGGTGGCCGAATTCCACGGGTAAACACTGAGCTGAATGGATATTCATCACGGGCAATATATCAATGATTTTACAAGTAAAAAAAGAGGATAGGAGCACTTTGCAAGGTGTGGTCTGGGTCAGAAAGTAGCCCAATATGCTACAAAGTCTATGACTTAACTAGTACAATAAACATATTGGATCACTACTATTACTATACTCGACTTGAAATATGATTGTAAACTAAGTCATTAGATGACACATATCTAAGGCTTTCAGATTCTTAGTAGTGTAGTTAAATAAGAAAAAGGTATCGAAAGAGAATTCAATTATTAAAAAGGTTTATGAGCATAGTACTGTTAAAAAACTCAACTGATCTTACATGGAAAAACTTAATTACCACGTATTGATACAAATCATTATTTAAAAGTTAGAGACCATCTGTTTTTCCAATATAATTAGCCTAGCATCTTCAGTGCCAAAGTTTTCTATCCAAAATATCTTTTCAGAACAAATACAAAAATTTAAATGATTCCTTGTCCTAATATCCACATCTTCTCTTCTCTATTTAGGTAGTGATAGCCATTCTGACCCAAGGTCATCTAACCTAAACTCATGAATCAATCTGTGTATAGTTTTGAATTATACAGTATGATTATGAAGTCTAATCGCTTTTATTCTATTCTAAACTAAACTAGGAACATCAAACTTTAGCAGGCAAACTCATCTTTTCTGGAAATTCAGAGATAACTTTACCGCTGTCATGTAGGTCAAGTCAAAAAAGGAGTTGGTCAGTCTTGAATTACATTTTAGTACCAAAAATCTGTTGGTACCGCCGTGTTTAGCTCTGGTCCAAAGGGTTGATTCAGTAAAGAATATAGCATTGACTCATAAGGCTTGACGTTATTAAAGGTATAATCCTAAAGTGAGAGATTTTATCAATTTTTCATCTGTAAATGTAAAGATAGCCAGTTAAGATTTGCAAGCAAATTGTCCATAGCTTGGTCATCAGTCATCATTACTTATTCATGCCATGAGACTTGAAAATTACTTTCCGGCGCGAGCAACTAACCATTGTAGTACAGCGTCAAGGTTTGTCTCCTCTTTTGCACTAATACCATAACATGACACCTCACGATCAGATATACTAATCAGATCCAAGGTTTCAATCAACTCGTCAACAGATAACCTGTCCTCAAGATCAGACTTGTTTCCTAGGACCAGTAGAGGGATTCCTTTCAAGGACGGTCTTTCTACCAAGGCATGGAGTTCTTCCTTTGCAACCGGCATAGCTTCACTGTCAGCACAGTCGATTATAAAGACAATTGCATTAACGCCTCGACAATATCTTTCCCACATTGTTCGAAATCGCGGCTGTCCGCCTAGATCCCAACACTTGAGGGTTACGTGACCTTTAGTTACTCGCTTCATGTTAAATCCAACGGTTGGAACCGACCTGTAAGGAGACAAAGTAGTTAGTCAACGTAGACTTCTCCCTTAATCTGGGATAATATAAGAATTCCTGGAGAAGTGACCACTATTGCTGTGAAAGGCACGTACTCAAGTGTGAATTCACCACCCTACATATACAGCAGAAGTTAGCTGAGGATTTTAGGGATCGAAGGCAGGTCTTACAGCAAGAATCCTTAGTAAGGATGTTTTTCCCGCATTCTGTAGACCTATCATTGTAATGTCCATCTCCGTGGCCCTGAATGACTCATTTTCATTAGTTCTGGGGCTGCATGAGCGGCGGGATAGCAGTTCCATGGAAATGTGAGAGACATTTCTTACCAAAATAACCTTAGTAGCCAGTCATACAATCTTTTGAATAAACCTGCCATGTTTATGTTCGGCCCAGAGGACGTTGTTGTTTGTTGGTTTGCGCAGTGCCTTGTAGATGATTCAAGATAGCATGTGGGGATCACGTACCACAATGCCAGTCATGAATGATATTGAACCGATTCTTTTCTAACCGTATCAATGTCTCAGTTGGGACATAAATTAGCTAAGCTCCAACGCACACACGGAATTCTAGAAATGCATAGCTGGAAACTGATAAACTACACACGGCCTCTCTACATCTTCTGCTCAATTATCCCCCTCTTGATTGCTTGAGGGTAGTAGTAAAACTTCCTGAGGTAATCTGCTACTCCATAACATAGTTTTAATGGAAACCACGTATAATGATGGTAACTATTCATACAGCGTCCGGGGAATTACTCGGCTTTGTTCCAGATAAGGCGATCGGGTCGGGAATTCTCTGCTTTATGATTACCGGTCACACGGGCCTAATCCCGAAGCCGGCTGACCCTGATAAGAAATATCAATTTGCCTCGGTGTGAAAAAATCGCGTCGCGACGTCGTGCCCACACAACGAGATATCTTACAAACTCCACTGGCGCGATTGGGTTCACGTACGGTGTAAGCATCAACAATCATGAATTATACAGATATTCATTCCCAAAAATCCACCAACATTCTAACTCATATGTTTCTAGCTCGGTCATGCCTCCCGCGTCTTCAACCCCAACGGCTTGGACACATGAATTCGATACATTACGGCGAGAAAGTCTGTTTCGAAATCCGCCCAAGGACCATACGGCCTATCCAGAACTCAAAGCTGCCATTGCCCCCCATGTTGAATCATTTAATGCACTTTTTGGAGGCCAAGGGTTGATTGCGCAGGGACTGTTAGACATAGGAACAAAGGTTTATCTTGATGGCGATGATAGAGCTACATGGGTAGGCAAAAATAAATTTCAAATAAGCATTAAACAAGTCTATATTGAAAAATCAACGTTGCCATCGAGTAATAAGTTTTCAACAAAGAATAGAGATATTCTTCCGGCAGAATGTAGAGAACGTCATTGTACTTATCGAGGAAGAATGAGTGCCAAATTTCAGTATCAGATCAACGAAGAAGATCCAATTGAGTTTGTTAGGGATTTGGGGCAGATACCACTCATGCTAATGGTATGAAAATCTATTTTGTAGATGATTTGTACTGACTATTATAGTCTACTAAATGTCATCTTGAAACAAACACTCCTGCCCAATTGGTGCGAAATAAGGAGGAGTCGGAAGAGCTTGGTGGATACTTTTTAGTAAACGGGATAGAGAAGTTGATTCGCCTTCTAATAGTAAACCGCCGAAATTTTCCAATGGCGATTGAGCGACCATCTTTCGAAGGAAGAGGACCCGAATATTCAAAATACGGCATAGTCATACGTTCAGTTCGCCCAGATCAAACTTCACAAAGCAATGTATTGCACTATCTTCATGATGGAAATATTACATTTAGATTTTCATGGCGGAAAAATGAATATCTGATACCCTTAATGATGCTACTCAAATCGCTTCTTGAAACTAATGACAGAGAAATATTTGAAGGACTCTCTGGAACCTCTGAAACCAAAGGTGCTTTAAATACGTTCTTAACAGATCGGATAGAGTTATTGCTTCGAACTTACCAGTCATATAACCTTCATACAAAGAACCAGACAAGAGCGTATCTAGGCGAAAAATTTAGAGCAGTACTAGGAGTTCCTGATAGCATGACAAACTTTGAATGTGGTACTGAATTTCTTCGGAAGATTGTGCTTGTTCACTTGGGCTGCGTCAATGTTACCGAGAAACAGGACGCTGACAAATTTAACATGCTTTTATTCATGGCAAGAAAACTTTATGCTTTGGTCCAGGGAGATTGTGCTGTTGATAATCCAGATGCTGTATCTAATCAAGAGATTCTCCTCGGGGGATATCTATACGGGATGATCATTAAGGAAAGACTCGAAGACTTAATAAATCTTCAGTATCGAACAGTGGTCAGGGACTATATCAGAAAGAGTATGGATCATTCTTTTACTTCTTCTGCCTTTCGGAAAGACTTTCCCTCGAAAATTTTACAAAGATCAAATGAGCTCATCGGACCTGCTCTTGAATATTTTATGTCGACCGGAAACCTAGTGAGCCCTACTGGACTTGATCTTCAACAAGTCTCTGGCTTCACGGTAGTTGCCGAAAAAATTAACTTCTTACGATTTATTAGTCATTTCAGGATGGTACACAGAGGAAGCTTCTTCGCACAACTAAAGACAACTACAGTTCGTAAACTCCTACCTGAGAGCTGGGGATTTTTGTGCCCTGTACATACTCCAGATGGTAGCCCTTGTGGGCTTCTCAATCATCTAGCTCATCGCTGCAGAATTCTTACTAATCCTATTGATACGTCCGCGTTGCCAAAACTAGTCATGGAATTTGGAATTACAAGTACAGCCTCTTCCTCTACCGATGAGAGTGTCGCTGTACAGTTAGATGGACGAATACTGGGATGGTGCACACCCAAGCAAGCTCGTGTAATTGCAGATACATTACGATATTGGAAGGTTGAAGGAAATCATGGTGTCCCTAAAGAGCTAGAAATTGGGTACATTCCAAATTCCAGAGGGGGTGAGTATCCAGGTATCTATATGACATCAACAACCTCCCGAATGATCCGGCCCGTTAAATACTTACCACTCGAAAAAGAAGATTATGTTGGGCCGCATGAACAGCCGTTCATGTCTATAGCTGTCGATGAAGAGGAAATAGTATCAGGAGAAACTTCACATGTAGAATTTAATCCGACAAATATTCTCTCTATACTTGCTAATATGACGCCATTCTCCGATTTCAATCAGTCACCGCGAAATATGTATCAGTGTCAGATGGGAAAACAATCTATGGGAACACCTGGAACGGCGATCCGATACAGAACCGATAACAAGGCTTATAGGCTTCTGACTGGACAGACACCTATCGCTCGATCACCTTTGCATAACGCGTACGGATTCGATAACTTTCCAAATGGTATGAACGCTGTAGTAGCTGTCATCTCGTACACTGGCTATGATATGGACGATGCTATGATAATCAACAAGTCAGCTCACGAACGGGGGTTTGGATATGGCACTATCTATAAAACAAAAAAAATTGAATTAGAGGAGAAAAAGAACAAATCAAGCAAAAAGACCAAAAAACTCTTTGGTTTCGCACCAGGCTCTGAAATAAAGGCGGACGTGCTAAGCCAAATTGATGAAGATGGTCTTCCTCACATAGGACGGGAGATCAAGCAGGGAGATAAGATTTGCGCCTGGTATACCGTGACTATGGATGAATCGGGCCATTTGGTGAATAGGGATGGAATTACTCATTTTGAGAAATATAAAGATTCCGAGGACGCTTATATCGAAGAAGTGCGTCTGATTGGCGATGAAAACGGAATAGAGCCCGCGCAGGTGATTTCTGTTAAATTTCGTGTTCCCCGATCGCCTCTTATTGGTGACAAATTTTCCTCTAGGCATGGACAGAAAGGTGTTCTTTCTCAAAAATGGCCCGCAATAGACCTTCCATTCACGGAGAGTGGGATACAACCTGACGTTATAATTAACCCACATGCATTCCCCTCACGTATGACTATCGGTATGTTTATTGAGTCACTCGCCGGAAAATCGGGAGCTCTACACGGATTAGCGCAAGACAGTACCCCGTTTAAATTCAGTGAGGAGAACACTGCTAGTGATTACTTTGGACACCAGCTCATGAAGGCTGGATATAACTACCACGGAAACGAGCCTATGTATTCGGGGATCACCGGCGAAGAGTTACACGCCGATATTTACATTGGAGTTGTCTATTACCAACGGCTGCGGCATATGGTAAATGATAAATTTCAAGTGCGAACAACGGGACCCGTAACCCAGATGACTGGTCAGCCTATCAAGGGAAGAAAGAAAGGTGGTGGTATTCGTGTGGGCGAAATGGAACGCGACTCGCTCCTTGCTCATGGTACCGCTTTCCTTCTTCAAGACCGGCTATTTAATTGTTCTGATTATAAGCGCTGTTGGATTTGTAAAAATTGTGGAACATTTATTTCCACTCAGCCGAGTGTTTCGCCATTTTCCCATCGAACCAAGGGAACTGGAAAGGTTAGATGTCGCCGATGCGCTCATCGGTCAGAGGGATGGACAGAGTCCGAAACTTGGGAAGATGGAGACGGGCAAAAGTGGGTTGGGGGTGATGATACGACAATTGTCGCTGTGCCAGGGGTGTTAAGATACCTTGACGTAGAGCTGGCAGCCATGGGTATCAAGCTTACATACAATGTGAGTCCTTGAGTGTAAGGATTTTTTGTGAGCAGGGAGTTAGGGGGTCTCGTAAAATCAATAATGGATTAGTGAGCAAAAGTTTTCAATTTTTTGATTTCGATAAAATTTTACTTCATACCAGTGTAGAACTCGTAACTTAGACTCTGAGCCAGCCATCTTAGTCTCTTCTCAGCCATCAAACGCGTAGACGCCCCAAAAAGCGCACATAAGCCTGATAGAGCCCGGCTAGCTTTCCGAGGTGGAGGACGAACGCTCAACACCTGTTAGTGGTGTACTTTACGAACCTGGGAGTCAAATATTCTCCTAGAGCCGTGGTTTAGTTACGAGCAAGGGTGGGACAAATTATATTTGATGGTTTGTCAGCTTTAAAGAGTTGTACTCGGTATTTTGGTCGGAAAATCAGTCGACTAAGATTTTATTACCACAAGAAATTCGAACAAAAGCTCATTACCACCAACATTTGATTCACTAATGGGCCTAAGTCTATTTTGGGTCATATTCAAACAAAAGATATCTCTCAAACTCCTAATATAATTGCAACGAAGCATTTCTCGTTCGATCCTACACCTGCGACTCACCTCCACACTTATTGCACTACCTACCAGCACACACCCTAGTGAGGAAAATCATGATAGAAACGGGACGTGTACACAGGAGGAAAAAAAGGAAGATTCACCGAGGAGATCACACAGATCCTCAATGCCGACAACAACCTTAAGGTACGATCTGAGGTTGCAAGGCTAGGATAATGATGAGATCTGAGACGGAATTTATATTTTGGAGTCAAGTATGATGTCAAAAGCTTGGGCGCGTGGTGGCTGAGGAGGAATTTGCGCTACGGAGTGTATGCAGCGGTTTTCTGGACGTTCGGGGTTGGTATGATTCAACAGACAGGTAAAGTTTGAAGTAGCTCGGTCATTTAGGTGGGACGAGGTTTATCGTATCTATGTAGTAGTCGAGCTGATACAGCCCAGCCAAACTCGTTCTCAAGCTCCCATAAGAGTGCAGAGAGTGGCGATTGTTCTGATCTAACGCTTTTCATCCTCGGACTTCATAGTGAGCAGTAGTTGTATAACACGTGGTACCATGCGTGGGAGACGAAACAGAAAGGCGAAAGCCGCTTGCCAGACCTAAGCAATCTGGTCCACTTCTAGATAGAGAAGTCACTTTTGAATGCAGAGAAAAAACAACCCTAACTATTACAATAACAATAGTAGTGAACTCAAACATCTACTTCCCAGCTATTTCATCCACCGTGACCCATACACCTCTATCTCATCTCTATCACTAAACGACAAAGCTTCAACATCAATTGCCTAGCATGTTAATTTATGAACAAAAAACAGCTATCCAACGTACCCTAGGGATCGCAAGACTTTCAGAAAATGATCTATATTCCATACAACACCCTTCAGAAACCACCTCTGACTCTAAGGCTTATCATCCAAGAAATATCACTGGAACTTTTATTTATAGAAAGAGTACTAAGGCTGACCACCTACACGCGGTGTTATGTAAGAGCCTGGGGGTCAAATATTAACCCCGGGTCGAGGTAGAGTCACGAAAAAGGGTGTAATAGAGAGTTTTGTCAAGATAGCCATCGAGAGAGGTGGTGTTGGCAAGTTTTCGACCGAAAATCCGATAGGCAGAGATTCCAAGATTGTATAACCTAGCGAAACCAAACAGACAAATCCCATGCACAACTCGCAGACAGGCTCAGACCTGTTTGCGGCTTGTACTAAAACACCTTGAAGTCTTAAATGTCTTTATTTTCCCCGGAAGATGATTACCTGTCAGAGTTTTCTTGTGACGAGTGGAAACTTTCTTGACGTGCAAAAGTCCAAAATCCTGCAATAGCTGCGTTATTTAAAGTTGCAGTCAAGTATTGCGTTTGGGTGCGTCTACACCTCCTCTGTAAGCACCATCAACTCAACTTTGGCGAATTGCATCCACGATATAGGCACAACTTCTTACTGATATATCAATCAAAGAACTCTAAGAAGGCAAGGGTATCTAAACACCAACTTTGAGAATTTATATACATATTCAACCTCTATGGTTAGAGAAATCGCAGAGACCTGAAAAGCACAGAGGCTTTGATAGCTTTAAGTCTTAAATATAGAGATATTATCGAGGAAAAAAATTTATGCAATAATGGAGGAACAAGAGAAAGCAAAAACCGAGGAGACCCCTATGAGTGATTGTATGGGGCCTACAACCAAAAAAAAGACATCAGGAAAGAGTGAGAAGATGTCAGGATGAAATAAGACTGGGAGTAGAAGATAAAGTACAAGTAAAGATCGGGAAGTAGATGAAGACTCACGCAATCTATGGTCGAGGCTTCCTCTCCACTCCACTCCCAAAAATTGACGTTTCAAGGCCTTCAAATACTCCTCATGGAGAGCAAGACTGAAAACCTGTACGCGGTGTCTTCTACGAACCTGGGAGTAACATATTCTCCCAGAGCTAAGTTCAGTCAAATTTCGCAAAATCAAAAAAGTTGGCCGACGAGGCAGAAATCCAAATTACTCCTACACGTCGTTTTTTCGCTCCCAACGATTTTGACTCCTATCTAAGTCTCATAAATTCTGCAAGTACGACCTGGTACATCCTCATTCCGATAATCACACTTCTCCTCGACCTTCTCTGGCCTCAGTTGACCACCAAATACACGCCCAGGCCGATATTTATACCCGGCGGAGGAAGCAAAGCGTAGCCCACAAATATGGGAGACAGTTCTTTGGGATGGACGTGAGAGGGATCAGGATAAGTTTACAAGATGATGCGAAGGAAGGATTTAGCCTCTTTTTTTTTTTTTGCATCAGATTTTAATTGCGTATGCAGCTATCTAGCTATGACACAATATCAAAGATAAGTACAGAATAGATGATTCATCGTTAAGGAAGAGCACTCATGCCTCAGATTTCATTTGCAAGTACCACTGCGAAGTTATGGTGGCTTTTTCTTCACCCCAGAATTTAGCCTCGAAGGGCGTGAAATTCCGAATTCTGGCAAGGAGTTTTACGAATTGAGCTTTGTACGCGCCAAGACTTCGCTTGCGAGAGTGCAGCTGACACTATAAACACAAGCCAACGATGGAAGGTGTTGTGGTCCGCATCCTTGCGGTGTTCTCCGATATAGTCTGAGTAGCCTGAGCACCTACTCCACCTGGGAAGGAGACGTCTGAGACCATATTTCGCGCGGAGGAAAGTTGAAAGATGATGGAGGCATATCTGGATAACTCAGGGTTTTTAGACATTCCCCTGGGTGGGTATTCACGGATGAGGATTGACTTGGGATGAAGAAAAAGCCGCCATAACTTCGCGGTGGTACTTGCAAATGAAATCCGAGGCATGAGTGCTCTTCCCTTACGTTGAATCATCTATTCTGTACTTTTCCTCGATATTGTGTCATAGCTAGATAGCTGCATACGCAATTAAAATCTGATGCAAAAAAAAATACTCATAAAGCCTCGGCAAAAAACTATAACCCTGTTACTGATCAAATATCTGACCTGCGACTCTATGCGACAGAGCTCAATCAGTCATGCTACAAGGTCAATGAGATAATATGATTATTTCCCCCCTTAAAATAGGCAGCAGCATCCAGAATGCGCATTAAAAAATCAGGGCTCCGCCACAGCAGTTTTGAAATCCTCTTAAATCAGATATTGACGAAAAGTGATGATGAGCTGTCAAAACCTGCTAGAATAGGAGCTAAACCCATGATATATGTATTTCTAACTTTTTTTCGTGATTAGTGTAAATTATGTTCATCTACAATGATAGTATAATGATCGTCAGAAACAAGGCCAGCCTGGTACCTGATTCACAAGCTAGCTGCTTTGCACAACCTCTCGGTATTTTGGGTAATTTCTAGCTAGAAAATTAGTTTCTTTTTTGAATAGGCGTGATAGACTGACATAGGCTCATTTAAGCATGTCATCCAAGCTACAATATGTTTGAATTTTGACTTTTTTTATTGAAAACTTATCCCTAAATACTGGTATCTTATCTCAGTTACTGGATTGATGTCTTCTAGAAAATATATAATGCTACAGATGACGGGAAAGGAAAAAGATTATAATATCTTATTAATTTCAATTGAAAGCTCATGTGTGAGCTATTCCTTCCATGTGTTCTATTGTTTAATTCTCTAAGTCTTCCGAGACAGCTCAAAAGGTTCGATAAATTCACTAGATTTCACTGTAGAAAGACCCTGAAGTCAATAGGCATGCCAAAAGTCCAAGCAAATAAAGCAAGCAGTAAAGAGTAACATTAGCTTCAAGCCAAAATTGATAGGGCCTATTCCTATTCTTAAGTCTAAAACATCTGTTACAAATACGAGACGATCTGATGAGTTCATATTGCTGTGATTCAGACCTGATCATCGGTAAAGATGCATATCACCAAACTTCGGAAAATCAGGCGTGTCAAGTAACTCCGGCCTAGCTAAATCTACTATCAATTAGGTAGCCGTCATGAGCAAAAGTTTTGTAATAAAGACTCATGGAAGATACATTAGAATCGCAACTATTTTAGGGAATATGACCCTGCACAGCTCGTAGGTAAAACTCGAAGTGGCTTCAAATTAACTAGCATCAAATATTCAAAACAGACTTTTCAACCTAGAGGGACCACAGTCATTAATAATATATATCCTGATTGAGGAATCTACCTTAACGAGTGGTTTCCAATAGATCTCGACCCGTAATTTTGAAACAAGTATGGTGAGCCCATCTGTTGACTCAGTGCTAAAATTTCAAACTGAAATGTCAATATTCGAAGGAAGATTAGTCTAAGAATCTGGGCAACTCTGTTGAGATCTAACGCTGTTCAATCTGCGGACTTTGTGGTGAGCAGTTATTACATCTCACGTGATGGAACACAGGAGCGAAGTAAAAGAGAGGGCAGCCCACTAGCCAAATCTAAGCAACTACGGGCACATGTAGAGCTGTAGCACATTCTCTGTAGATAGACATAACAAGCAATTATCATCAATAATTAAAT